GAGAAGCATCATCGGAGTGGCCGTTTAAAAATTTTTCTGGAAAAATGTGGTTTGTCGCTTCGGCTTGCCCCGGGTGGTCATCTCGGATAATGGCAGACAGTTTGCGGACAATCCTTTCAAAACGTGGTGTAAAAACTTGGGAATTAAACAGCACTTCACCTCGGTGGGACACCCTCAGGCAAATGGACAAGCCGAAAACTTCAACCGAACTCTCCTCCATGGCCTCAAGACCAAGTTTCACCGGGCTGGATCGTCATGGATGGAAGAGCTCCCCAGCGTGCTGTGGTCCTACCGAACCACGCCGAGGTCAGCAACTCAAGAAACACCGTTCTCTCTCTAACTTATGGATCCGAGACTGTCATTCCAGCCGAGTTCATCACTCCCAACCCGCGAATGGCCGCGTACGCTGCCGAGGTCAACGAAGAGGAGCGACGGGTTGATCTCGACCTCGCCGAGGAGAAGCGCGATATGGCTGCGGCCAAAGTTGCTATTTATAAAAACATCCTAGCTGGTTATTACAATGCTCGGGTCAAACACCTAAGGTTCAGTCCAGGAGACCTGGTACTCCGGAAGAATTCGGTTAGCCGAGCTGAACCCCAGGAAAAACTTAACCCCAAGTGGGAGGGACCCTACCGTGTTATTGAGTCCAGCCAAAATGGATATTGTAAACTGGCTTACCGAGATGGTTCGCGTGTGCCCCGAACTTGGCATGCTGAGAACCTTAAGTTGTATTACCCTTAAAGGGTACGTGTTCTTAAATCTCACTTTTTTAAATTATTTCTTATCCGTTCTTATTTCATTACAAGTGACAAATAAGGGGACAAAGCAGTAGTTAAAAGAAAAAAACTGAACTCAATTGAAAGGGAGGCAAAAATATGCAAGATTAAAAAAGCCAACTTTATTGAGGTACGAAAAACAAGAGGCCGAGGTCATTCATGACCACGGCCCCCAATTACAAGAGCTAATGGCCGAGGTTATCTACGACCTCGGCCCACCTATTGCAAAAATAGATGCTTCTAAGCATCTCCTCCTCCGGGGTTCTGGCCCCCCATAGTCTCACCCCCCGCTTCGGTTCCCTGCTGTCCATCTCCTCCGCCGGCCTGGTTCCCCTCACTGCCCTCATCATCTAAATCAAACTTTTGGAGCCATTTGTTGAACTCAGCACGGATCTCGGCTAAGTCTTTCCCATCTTGGATGCCCTCAGTCATACGGTCGTACAGTTCCTTGGCGTCCTCATTGTAATGTTGAGCATCTTGGAGGGACTCCAACTGTTCAGAAGTAAGGAAGGGCGCTGCCTCTTTAATGGCCGAGGTATAGCCGAACATGAAGCTTGGCCTGGTGAGCTCGCCGAGGTCGCGAGTAAATGATTCTGACTTCCGGAAGGCCACCACGGCAGTAACCCCGGCTTTGTCGATTGCCTCCTTGTTTGATTTTTCCTCCTGAACTCTCCTGTTCTTCTCCTCATCAAGGGCAGTAAAGAGGGAGTTATTGGCGACCTCGAACTTCTTCTTCGCCGCTGTGGCCTTGTCCCGTTCCAGCTCGGTGGCCTTTAGCTTTTCTTCCAGTTCGGTGATCTTCTTTTGGAGCTCGGCCGGTGACTCGTAAGTTTCTATGAAGTGACCGAAGCGCTGGTACATCTCGGCGAAAAACGTCGTAGTGGAAGCCCAAGAGACCGCGGCGCTCTGCATCAGCTCGGCTGGATTCAGTTTCCTGGTGTAAGTGTTGTCCCGTGGCAGAACCGAATTCACCAGGAGCTTGTGTGCGACTTGGGGATTCTTGCAGCAGTCATTGACATTGACTTCCCACTCCGGGCAGAAATGTGCCCCCGAGTGCCTTTTGTCCTCCCCCGCTGCAAGAGAAGGCACATGGTGGAGGTTGAATAATGAGGACCCCGTGACGGGGTTATCCTGGACAACGGTCGCACCTCGACCCCGGCCCCGAGGTTGAGAGGCTATGGTTATTCCATGGGATGGAATTCCCACTGGAATGGACGCTCTGGACCTTCCCGGCGTGCCTGAGGTGTGCGACCCTTCGCCTATGATCACCACGGCAGACTCGCGAGTGCATGCCGCCGCAGTGGTCTTCTTAGCCAGCTTGGATGAGGACTCACCAGCCTCCTTGCGCTTCTTGGCTGGCCTCTTTGCCACCTCGACCTCTCCCGAGGTTATCAGGTCGGAAACCTTCATTACTGCAAAGCACGAAATGAAGTTAGTTAGAATTCAAGGAAAATAAACAAGAAAGTGAGAAATGGAAAAGTACAAGGTATGTGAAGCCTAGTGGAGATGAGGACGGGATGACCCGAGCTGATCAAGGCTCGGTTGAGCTCGCCCTTCACGAGCACTCTTTCAGGGAAGTCCCAACAGTTAATCTTCAGGCCCGACCCCGTCAACTTTTGGAAGTTGCGTTCTTCCAATTTGCCTGGGGAGGTTTCTTTGACCGAAGTGGGAGGTCTCCACCAGAATCCCCTGGGGAAGTCCTCAGCCGGGACGAAGAAAAAGTTCCTCTTCTCCTTTATTGAGCTCGGGGCATCATATACCAACCTTGGAACCTTGTTCCCGAATTAGAACCACCCCTTCTCGCTCCCGCTGTTCTTAAGTGAATAACAACGGCGGAAGATGTTGACGTTCGGTTCTATCTCCTGATGTCGGCAGAGTAGCTGGAAGCTGACGAAGATACGAATTGCATTTGGGGTGAGCTGAGTAATCCTCACCCCCCAGTACCTCAGGCAGTCCCTAAGAAACCTCGTAGTTGGCACCCTGAGCCCGGCCTCCAGCTGTTCTATGTAGATGGCTACCCTACCCTTTGGAGGCAAGGCGGCAGACTGATGTGGGCGCGACAGGTAGATACTGTAATCCCTTCTCCACGGGTACTTGCGGATCACCTCGGCTATGGAATCTTGGTCCACCGCACTGATGAAGGCCGGCATCTGGCCATAGTTTAGCGTGGCCGCGTTTGGAGGAGTGGAGGGCTCCTGTACACCTTCGTCCCTAGGAACTTCATTCCCGAGGTCATCATTGTACAAGATCTCGGGCTCGACCTCAATCTCTTCGGCCTGTTCTTCCGGAGACTCAGCTCGGCGAGATGTCTCCGCACCTCCTCCCCAGGCTCGGTAAGACGCTTCCGCACCTCCTTCCTCGGCGTCGGATGCAGTTCTCTCCCCGGAAGGGTCGGGCCTCTCTGCCTCGGTGAAGTCAGGCCTCACCGTCTCTTTGTGTGTGCGAGCTGTTCTAGCCATTAATACAGAAAGAAGAAGTGAACTTACTTAGGAGATGCAGAGTGAAGAAGTTGCTGAAGAAGATGTAGGTTGGAAAGATTGCCGAAGTGAAAAAGCAAAGAGACAGAGCTCTGAGGTGATTTCAAATTTTGGCAAAGAATGGAACGGTGAAAAGAAACCCCTATTTATAGGCAACAGGGGGGAACTGAAGAGACGCGATCTTTGGGATTCCCTAAAGCTCTCTCTCCCCTCATTAATGAAGGTGCTGTTCACCTGACAATCGATCGTATTGATCCGACGTTAAAGCTGCCAGCCCCCGTTTCACCTTCCCCCAGTCACATCTACACAGTCGTGACGTGTCCTTGCCATATTCCGTGTTCTACACGCGCGTCAGCTTCGGGAAGTGACGACCTCGGGAGACCCCGACCTCGCTCTTCTCGAAGCTTGGGGGGCTTAGTGAGGATGGTCATTTCGGCTCATGGAGTGCCTCCTGAAGTGCCACCTCGGCAAGACCTGTTGGTTTGGAACCCACCTCATTACCACTTCGGCTAAGATCGTTAGCCGAAGTGACGCTTGAGTATTTGATAACTGCAGAAAGGTACGATGTGACTCCTGACACATCTGACACCTGGGAAGGCTGCTCTGATACGCCGCCTGAACCTGACAGATGTCCCCTCACATCTCATAAAGATCGGTCAAGTCTACCGGATGCACTGACCATCTCAGATCTTTAGGGACTCGTGCCGACAGTCCCTCTCTCCTATCCTTCCTCTATAAATTCTCAACATTTCTATTGAGAAAGGGATGATGACCAATTCTCTGGTAACATACTACTCCCTTCTATTATACTACCTCCTTACAACCGAACTAACTTGAGCTTCGGAGTTATACCAGGGGATTCAGCCCCTCTTATTACCCAAGCAGGTGACCACGTCCAAGAGAGCTGCCCAAGATAAAAATACTTCTCCAGTTCGGGTGACTTACTCCAGCGGGACGAAAATCACCTCCTCAATTGGCGCCGTCTGTGGGAACGCAAAGACATCAGAGTATGAAGCCTACGCGTTCTAAGAGCAGAAAAGCTCTTACCATTGGTGCTGAGCAAAGCAATGCAGCTTCACAAGAAGACATATCTGAAGGGCAAGGGCCTCCAAGGACCCAGCCCGCAAACGAAGAAGCCATCACTCGTATGACCCAGTTTGTAACCGAGAACCCCAACATCTTTGAGGAGTTGGGAAGATATTTAAAGAGGCAAGGCAAGCAGAAGGCTGAGTCCTCTAAAAGAAAGTCAGATGGATCTCCTGAAGGTTCATCTTATGGGAGGCGCCTAAGCCGGAGTGCGTCGAAACGAGCGTTTTCCAAGGCCACCTCCAAGGTAGCCTCCCTAACTAAGGCCTTTTCTCGAGGTCTCCTGGGGCGACGACCTGAGGAAGAACCTCGGCCCCTGGGAATACCCGGGGTGAATTATATGAGGGCCCCGTCTTTTACCGATGACATTAACGAGGAAAGGCTTCCTCCAAACTTCAAGCTCCCCGCGATACCGTCTTATGACGGCCGAGGTGATCCCGAGGATCACATTCATGCCTTCATCTCGGCCATCCGCTTATACTGCATCCCTGACCCCGTCATATGCCGAGCCTTCCCAGTATTCCTCTAGGGGACAGCTCGAAAATGGTTCTGGGGATTATAACCTAGGAGCATCTCAACCCTGGGAGGACTGGTGGAAAGATTTCTCCATAGGTTTATTTCATCCCGACCTACGACCCGAACCTCGGCTTATCTGCTGAACATGCAGCAGAACCCGGGTGAGTCACTTCGGTCGTATGTTCAGAGGTTCCATGAAGAAAGCGTGCAGATACCTGATCCTAATGAGCAGGTCACCATCGCCGCTTTCAACCATGGGCTCGTTTACGGGGTGTTCAACACGGGGATTCACAAGAAATATCCCCGCACCCTCCACGAGCTGTGGTTAAAGGTTGAGAAGGGCAAACAAGCCGAAGACCTCAACCGCATGAAAAAGGAGGTTCAAGCTGCTCGCCCGAGGGCCGACCCCCGAAAAGGAAAAGAGCTTGGCCGAACTGAGGTGGGGACGGGCAGTGGCTTCCAAAGTCCTGCCCGAGATCGCCGCAGTGTGTTTGACAGGATATCTAAGGGAAAGGCATCTATCCCCGAGTCTGAACTAACTCCTTTGAACACTAGTCGGTCTCGGGTGCTATCCGTAATGGAACAAAATAACCTTGGAAAAGCACCCCCCAAGATGCAGGGCAGCAGGGACAAGAGGAACTCGACCCTCTATTGCTTATATCACCGAGATATAGGACATGAAACCGAGAACTGCAACGATCTCAAGAGAGAGATCGAGAACCTCATTAGACAAGGCCACCTCAAGCAGTTCATCCGCCGAAGTGGAGGTCATCCGCGTGATGAGAATTGACGTGATAAGCGAGGTGACCAACGCCAAGATGAGAGGCGGACGTCGAGAACCAGTTGCCGACCTCCTGAGGATCCTAGGGAGTCGAAGTGGCCACCCGGAGACGGATCCTCAGGTCAAGGATTAGGATATGGACCAAATATTGCCGGAGTCATCAACACCATTGCCGGAGGTCCGACGGGAGGAGATAGTCAAAACTCCCGGAAAAGGACCTACAGACAAGCCAACCCGGATCAGGCTGAGTCGAGCTCTCGCCTGTCCGAGGTGATTACTTACGGGCCCAGTGATCCCGTCCCAGCTGCCTCCAGCAGTCATGAAACTTTGGTGATTGAAGTCCTCACCAATAACTAAATCGTGAAAAAGGTCTACATTGACCCGGGGAGTTCAGTTGACGTCATGTACCTCCGTACCTTTGAGAGCCTTAAACTGGCCAGGGAGTGCATGACCCCGGTGAGAACCCCTCTTGTCGGGTTCGGGGGACACATTGTGCACCCCGAAGGGATGGTGACTTTGACAGTGACTGTAGGGCGTCACCCCCGCTGCAGAACCATCCCCGTCAACTTCGTAATGGTCAAGGCTGACTCCCCATACAACTTACTCCTAGGCCGACCTACACTTAATGCTTTGCGGGCAGTATACTCTACCTATCACTTAAGCTTTAAGTTTCCTACTCCAGAGGGGGTAGCCGAGGTCAGCAGCGACGTCTGCGCTGCCCGTGAGTGTTACCTCGCCACTCTACAAGTAGCCTCCCCATCCACCTCCGGAGCAAGGCCCGAGAGGAAGTCAAATATCCTCTCAATAGATAGCATCGATCCTCAGCGAGCTGAGAAGATCCCGAGGCTGGAGACTGGGGATGAGGTGGAAGAATTTCCTCTGGACCCCACGAAGTCTGATCAAACGATTCGCGTCGGTACCCAATTGCCCAGTCCTGTCAAAAGAGGTATGGTGAGCCTCCTCAGAGAATACCGGGACGTCTTTGCTTGGGCCGCAGAGGAGGTTCAAGGGGTCCGCATCACCTCATGATACATGAGTTGAACGTCGACCCCCAAATCAGTCCGGTCAAGCAGAAAAGAAGGCACCTCGGCCCTGAGCGTAGCCGAGCTGTTGGCGAAGAGGTGGACAAACTCCTCCCTGCAAAGATCATCCGGAAGGTCCAATATCGGACCTGGTTATCCAACCCGATCATGGTAAAGAAGGACACTGGGGCTTGGAGAATGTGCGTCGACTTCACCGACCTCAACAAAGCTTGCCCCAAGGATTGCTACCCGTTGCCCAAGGTCGATACCTTGGTGGACTCGGCAATGGGTTATGAGGTCCTCTGCTTCTTTGATGCCTTCAAAGGGTACCACCAGATCGGAATGAGTCCGGAGGATCAGGAAAAGATCGCCTTCTACACTGACCGAGGCACATATTGCTACACCACTATGCCTTTCGGATTGAAGAACGCCGGGGCCACATACCAACGCTTGGTTAACCAAGCCTTTAAGTCTCAGATCGGCCGGATGGTTAAGGCCTACGTAGATGATATCCTCCTCAAAAGTCGGACAACCTCCACATTCCTTGCCGACCTGAAAAAAGTCCTGGAAGTCTTTCGGAAGACGCGAATGATGCTAAACCCCAAGAAGTGTGTCCTGGGGGTCACTTCGGGGAAGTTTTTGGGCTACCTCGTCTCCAGGCGAGATATTGAAGCAAATCCAGACAAGGTGAAAGCAATTCAAGAAATGTCTCCACCTCGGTGCGTCCGCGATGTCCAAAGGTTGACGGGGCGGTTGGCCGCCCTGAATCGATTCCTATCGCATTCAGCCTCCAAGGCATTGCCATTTTTCAAAGTCCTCAAAAAGGCCAACAACTTCTCCTGGACTGAAGAGTATCAACAGGCGTTTGAGCAGCTAAAGGAGTACCTCAACCATCTCCCAACACTTACTTCACCTCGCCCAGAGGACAAGTTAATCTTGTATCTATCTGCTGCCGCTGAAGCTGTAAGTGCCGTACTGATAAGGGAGGAAGGTGTCCAAACACCTGTTTATTATGTCAGCCGAGTCCTCCGAGGTCCGGAGACCAGGTACACTCAGGCGGAGAAACTTGTGCTGGCCTTAATTCATGCAGCTCGTAGGCTTAAGCCCTACTTCCTGGCCCATCACGTCTGCCTGAGGACAAACCAACTACTTCGGCAGGTCCTATCGCGATTGGAGACCTCTGGACGCCTCACCAAGTGGGCCATCGAGGTGGGAGAATACGACTTATCCTATGAGTCTCGCACGGCAATTAAAGCCTAGGCTCTCGCGAATTTCCTTGCCGAGCTTACTTTTGAGGAAGTGAATGGGACCATCCCGGCTACTACCCAAGCTGTCACCTCGTCCACTGCCGAGCCTCAACGATGGACCTTGCATGTGGATGGCTCATCCAATAGTGAGGGTAGTGGAGCCGGCTTGCTCCTCGAAGATCCCCAAGGAGAAATTTGCTCGTATGCTTTGAGGTTTGATTTTGCTGCTTCCAACAATAAGGCCGAATACGAAACAGTCATCGCCGGCCTGCAGTTAGCTCGCAAGCTCGGGGCCGCGCATATCATGGTCTATAGCGACTCTCAACTCGTCGTATGCCAAATATTAGGCGAATACGAGACCAGGGAAGAGGTGATGCATCGATACCTCTCCAAGGTCCTCCAGCTAGTGGCACACTTCCAGTCTTTTGAAATTCAGAGGATACTACGGTCACAGAACAGGAGAGCTGATGCTCTCTCCCGGCTCGCTTCTACCTCTTTTTCTGACCTGAACAAAACGGTCCTTGTAGAAGTTTTAGCCGAACCGGGGTACGAAGGGGAAGAGATGTATCCCATCTACCCTGGGGACACCTGGATGAGACCGCTAGTTCGATTCCTCAGCCGAGGTGAACTCCCCGAAGACCGAGCTGAGTCACGCAAACTTCAGCGTAAAGCAGCTCGGTACGCCCTTCGACAGGGCCTCTTGTACAAGAGGTCCTACCTCGGCCCATGGCTACGATGTATCACCCCAGAAGAAGGCGACAGAATTCTTCAAGACATTCATGAGGGACTCTGTGGTGCCCACGTCGATTTCAGGATGCTCGTGAAAAAGGCTTTGTTGCTTGGGTACTTTTGGCCCACCATGAGGGTAGATGCCCAGGTTATGGTCCTTTGCTGTCCTTCTTGTCAGCACCATGCCCCTGAGCACCACCAACCAACCAATCTTATGATTCCTATCATCTCGCCGTGGCCCTTCGAGCAGTGGGTAACTGACATAATCGGCCCATTTCCAAGGGCTCCGGGTGGTTATACCTACGTGGTGGTAGCAGTGGACTACTTCACCAAATGGGTCGAAGCGGAGCCCCTGAGAAGCATCATCGGAGTGGCCGTTTAAAAATTTTTCTGGAAAAATGTGGTTTGTCGCTTCGGCTTGCCCCGGGTGGTCATCTCGGATAATGGCAGACAGTTTGCGGACAATCCTTTCAAAACGTGGTGTAAAAACTTGGGAATTAAACAGCACTTCACCTCGGTGGGACACCCTCAGGCAAATGGACAAGCCGAAAACTTCAACCGAACTCTCCTCCATGGCCTCAAGACCAAGTTTCACCGGGCTGGATCGTCATGGATGGAAGAGCTCCCCAGCGTGCTGTGGTCCTACCGAACCACGCCGAGGTCAGCAACTCAAGAAACACCGTTCTCTCTCTAACTTATGGATCCGAGACTGTCATTCCAGCCGAGTTCATCACTCCCAACCCGCGAATGGCCGCGTACGCTGCCGAGGTCAACGAAGAGGAGCGACGGGTTGATCTCGACCTCGCCGAGGAGAAGCGCGATATGGCTGCGGCCAAAGTTGCTATTTATAAAAACATCCTAGCTGGTTATTACAATGCTCGGGTCAAACACCTAAGGTTCAGTCCAGGAGACCTGGTACTCCGGAAGAATTCGGTTAGCCGAGCTGAACCCCAGGAAAAACTTAACCCCAAGTGGGAGGGACCCTACCGTGTTATTGAGTCCAGCCAAAATGGATATTGTAAACTGGCTTACCGAGATGGTTCGCGTGTGCCCCGAACTTGGCATGCTGAGAACCTTAAGTTGTATTACCCTTAAAGGGTACGTGTTCTTAAATCTCACTTTTTTAAATTATTTCTTATCCGTTCTTATTTCATTACAAGTGACAAATAAGGGGACAAAGCAGTAGTTAAAAGAAAAAAACTGAACTCAATTGAAAGGGAGGCAAAAATATGCAAGATTAAAAAAGCCAACTTTATTGAGGTACGAAAAACAAGAGGCCGAGGTCATTCATGACCACGGCCCCCAATTACAAGAGCTAATGGCCGAGGTTATCTACGACCTCGGCCCACCTATTGCAAAAATAGATGCTTCTAAGCATCTCCTCCTCCGGGGTTCTGGCCCCCCATAGTCTCACCCCCCGCTTCGGTTCCCTGCTGTCCATCTCCTCCGCCGGCCTGGTTCCCCTCACTGCCCTCATCATCTAAATCAAACTTTTGGAGCCATTTGTTGAACTCAGCACGGATCTCGGCTAAGTCTTTCCCATCTTGGATGCCCTCAGTCATACGGTCGTACAGTTCCTTGGCGTCCTCATTGTAATGTTGAGCATCTTGGAGGGACTCCAACTGTTCAGAAGTAAGGAAGGGCGCTGCCTCTTTAATGGCCGAGGTATAGCCGAACATGAAGCTTGGCCTGGTGAGCTCGCCGAGGTCGCGAGTAAATGATTCTGACTTCCGGAAGGCCACCACGGCAGTAACCCCGGCTTTGTCGATTGCCTCCTTGTTTGATTTTTCCTCCTAAACTCTCCTGTTCTTCTCCTCATCAAGGGCAGTAAAGAGGGAGTTATTGGCGACCTCGAACTTCTTCTTCGCCGCTGTGGCCTTGTCCCGTTCCAGCTCGGTGGCCTTTAGCTTTTCTTCCAGTTCGGTGATCTTCTTTTGGAGCTCGGCCGGTGACTCGTAAGTTTCTATGAAGTGACCGAAGCGCTGGTACATCTCGGCGAAAAACGTCGTAG